TATTTTTTTTTTTCATTTATACTTCCAGGTGCTGATACACACAAAAAAGTTAGTGCCATGAATTATTATGCACACAGACTCATGATACGTGAAGGTGAAGTAAATCACATTTTGATGTGTCAACGGCTCATTCATCAGTATGCAGTGGACATGTACGTCAAAATTGAGACTAAACGATTGACATACATTCGTCTAAACCAACAGCAGCTTCGATCTGAAGAGTACATTCATCTTCGCGATGCAATCAATGCTGACGGCAATGTAAATAATTTAGGAAGAATGACGTACATGCACGAGTACGCTCAGGATGCCATGTCTTATGTTCGAAAGTATGACCGTCCAGACCTATTCATTACATTCACCTGTAACCCACAATGGATTGAAATAAAAAATGAACTGCTACACAACCAAACACCACTTGATAGGCATGACATCACAGCCAGAGTTTACAAGAAAAAATTAAAATCTTTAATGAATTACAAAGCATCGTGTGCATGGCCAAGTACGTTGTTGGATCAACTCTGTTGAGTGGCAAAAGCGTGGTTTGCCACATGCTCATATATTAGTCTGGTTGGTTGACAAAATAAGGCGAGAAGAAATTGATTCCACTATTTCAGTCGAAATTCCTGATGAAACGGTTGACCCAAAATTGCATACAATAGTAACTAAACACATGATACATGGATCCTGCGGAGTTATCAACAACAGCTCACCCTGTATGATCGACGGCAAGTGCTCCAAACGGTACCCGAGAAACTTGGTTGCTGAAACCATCTCGGGAATCGATGGTTACCCATTGTATCGTCGGCGATCAGTTGTGGGCGTTAGACGACCTGTAGATGTCAGGATAAAAGGACAAGATTTTCATGTAGACAATCGTTGGATTGTGCCGTTCTCGCCCATATTGTCCACAACTTTTGAAGTTCACATCAATGTGGAATTTTGTAACTCTGTGAAATCCATAAAATACATATGTAAATATGTTAACAAAGGTAGCGACATGGGCATCTTTGCAGTAACAAACACAAATAATGAAGTGTCTCACTGTCAGATGGGTCGTTATGTAAGCAGCAATGAAACTATTTGGCGATGATTAGCTCGATGCATGAGCATGGCACATGAGCGTGGGAATACTTATGGAAGTAATTAGAGACCAACGCTAACGGCAGCAGCGACGGTAAGAATAGTAGGCTAGCTGTATGCTTACTGATTATTAAATAAATAATTTTTGAAAGAGACTCAAAGTGTTAACTCAATTAAAATAGCTTGGATAGTCGACAACACCGTCGCTACCGCTGAAGTGAAGTTATAGGAAGTTAATTAAAAATAACTTATACATTCCCAATAAAACCTGCTGATAGTAAGTGGTGCATCTGCATAAACAACATGAATAGACAAGCGTTTCGTGGAACAGCTGCAACAGAGACCCGAGCATTGAGCAAAGAATTAAGTTATTTTATATTTAAGATTAGCGATAAAGAACAGAATTAATTTCGTAGTAAAAACAACCACATTCTTCTCATTTTTAATTGGCACCCCAGTAGGGACCAGCAGTAAAATTAAATTAGTAGTAAAAAATCGCATAAAAAATATCCTTAAAATGAAAGAGGAAGACATAGATAAAATTGCATTTTCAATTAAAAACGGCATGTATGAATATGTCCGAATACCTTTCGGATTGAAAAACGCATCTTCAATTTTTCAGAGAGAAATGGACAATGCACATCGCCAATTCGTAGGGAAATTTTATCATGTTTACATTGACGATATCATGGTGAATTTAGCAATGTTGACGAACACTATGATCACTTAGAGAAAATAATAAATACTTTACACGAAGCTCACATAGTTACACATTCAGCCACCACATCCACCACTACACCCACTACCACATCTATCACCACATCAAGCATCATACCTAACACACTACCAACAACAACAGCAAACGGAATTCAGCCAATATTCCAAACAAGAAGTACTGGACACTAAGACTTACTATACATACATATTTACGTATAAGACAATTCGACACTAAATTAATAAACATACGCAGATAGCATCATAATTCGATATTAAATTGATAGGAGACGTACATACGTACATACATAAGGTATTAGAAACAATAATATTGAATTTCGACATCTAATGTCAACAAATATCAAAGAGACTTGAATCCTATTTAATTGAACACAATAATGTATAAGAACTCGTGCCATCGTTATGATATTTGATGCTTTGCTAACAGATTTAAAAATAATCAAATCTCGAAAGTATAAAAGGCATAGTAAAAGTTCAATTGCAGTTCAGTTCAGCTCAGTTCAGTTTGTCTAGATAAGTGTGTTCGAAAGAGTAAATGTGTGTGATATACACGGACTACGTGACAGGAAGGAATMCAGGACTACAGAAAAATCTAAGGAACTGAAGTCCAAAATAAAACGACATTATTCTAAGTTCTCTTGCAGCTCTTTAATAAACCACGATTTGTTAACATAAAAAACAAAGTCTATTATACAAATTGGAAGATAGACTTACACGCTAAGTCTATAATTGTAAGAAAATTTCACTGGATAAATCGGAGTTTTTAAGACCAGTATTGAATTTTCAGGATACAAGTTTGCCCATAATACAATTTTGTTAGATGAAAAGAAAGTAGAAACCATTCAAGAATGTCTTATACCAAAAACTTTATCCTTTATCAAATAACAAAGGATGCTTGAATAAATTGAGCAAGGCACAGTACTTTAGCCCTATAGATTTAGTAAAAAGTTACCATTAGATTTTAATGGCATCAAGAAAACAGTTTTTGTTTCTCCGGCAGTACTAAATATATGAATACGTCAGAATGCCTTTCGGGTTGAAAAATATCAAAGATTTATAAACGACATATGGAGATAATACATAAATAAAAACATAAATCATAGAATTAGGAAGCACATGATCTAATACCTAAACTCTGCGCTTCCTAGAATATAAGCTGTTTTTTTTTTATTTAGGCGTAAACAAAATATTGTATAAAGGAATAAGAAGTAAAACAGCTCTGTTTACTAACTCACTAGAATTAAGTAGCGTCCTTGCCAATTTTTAGAAGATAACTCGCTTTCATAAATATTCGCCTAACGATATTCATACTAATGTATATGATGGCATATAAATGTASTAAAATATAAGCCAAAGGACTAACAACCGGTTATAATATCAAAGAAAACCTATGGCCATAATAACATTCAATGCTCATTTCTGTTCACGTCGCTCTGTTAAAATTTCTTCTTCCTGCTGGTGGTGGTGGTGAAATGCGCTCAACACATTTTCTTAACTTTTAAAAATGTATACGCTGGTAGGCAGTTGAACCTTCTCTAATTTAAATGTTCTCTGTTACATCTAGTTTACTACTGTTACATTATCTCTAACTTATACGTTGTCTTTTACATCTACAACTAACCGGTTTAGCTGAGAACCTCAGCGCTCTTTTGCAATGAATTTATGAAGAATTGATCTCCTTTGATATCCTGTCAAATGACTGTATATTGTTGAACGTATCCTTCAAGTAATTGACGTAATCCGTAATCAAGTAATAGGCCATCGGAAAAAATTTTTACCAGGGAATTTTTGAATGGCATCTTCCTTAAGGCCCGCTGTTGATGCTGTTGCTATTCGCATTACCCAAATGTCTGTAAAGAGGTAAACCAGAGAAGGTTGTTCATTATAGTGAGATTAAAAAAGAGAGGGTATGGCCAAATGAGAAAAGGAGCTAGATATAATTTGAATTTAAATACCAGTCCGACTTACATCATGGTTTCTGAATTTTTGGATCAATTTGCTCGATTTTGATACCATGCCTCGATGCACTTATGTATGAAAAGACCGTCAGGGTATTATTTTCTGATTATTCCTTTAGGACTAGGAAATGTCCTGGAAAGAAAACAAACAAAAAGTCAATTAAATATACATTTCAGTATAATACATTGTTTTATAATATATAATACAGTTTTGAGAAAGCTTAACTTATGTACTACTTTTTGTAGCCGCATCAAATATGAACACCATCGTAGAGAAAATACGAAAATTGCCTTGTAGATTTCATATAAATCCAATAGTTCTAATTAAGCTAAATTTTAAATAATATATTTATTTTTACTAGGCCTGCTTTAGTTGAGTGGAACTTTACAAAAATGTGGAAGAAAACCTTGTATGATATGGTTATGCAATAGTATTCATGTACAGTTCTAATACGATGTAGAATCGGAGAAGTAAAACCTCTACTGAGGTTATAAATGAACGCCAGAAAGGTGTAAGAGTTAGATAAGTGACTTAAAGAACCCTCGATTTGCAGAAGAAAGAATGTGTCATATATATATATGTAATATTTATATTTCTCACATGAAARATGTTACTAAAAAAGAAGGCTACCTTTGGCGTAAATTGTCAGCAAAAAATCGAAACTGATCAAAATGAATGTAATTAAATGTCAGCTTTTTTGTAGGAAATTGTGAACAGAAATTCCTTTTCAATACTAATTAAGTACAAGATTAAGATACATCCACAGTAAAAAAATGTCATAAAATGTACGAAATTCAAATTCGAGGTTAATTTAGGTAATTTGCAACGCTTGCAAAATCCGTGAAAATGTGGCGAAACTTTTCGGTTATTCAAAGCAGGCAAATCTGCGGTTTAGCACTAAGGACTTAGCACCAAAGCGTCGTTCGTTATAGCATTCGCCAGCAATTTCCGTTTAGCTCCGGTGTTTCGAACATGTTAATTGGGTGATGGAGCTAATTGGGTACGCCCAAATAAATGTTGATGCCGCCAAATGATAGCTTCATAGAACGAATGTGTAGGGTTATATGTACGTATATGTTTCTGTGAAGTTGTGTAGGTGCGATGTAGTGTGTCGCTGTAATGCGTGTTAGCCTGTGATTTATGCGGGATCACGTTGGTATTTTGTATAGGATTTTTTAATATATTGTCGAAACGTTTTATCACCACATAAAGCTTGCTTTTTGKCAAAAATTAGTCGTATATATATGTATATCTAGAGTTCACGTATTTACGTTTTCAGAAACTCTTGTGGCTAAATATTTATGCGAATTCYATTGTTTATTTTCTTATTTTATCTGGCGCTCACACACTTTTCTGATATATAAACATCTGCTTGTTTTAGATATATGTACATATTAGATGTAGATATGTTTGTGCGAAATGATGAATTATACATTTATGTTCATACGAGGGTGGCTCGAGAAAACCGTGAGTACTTGAAATTCATGAAACATTTTTATAGGTTAACACACTTATAAAAACCAAAAAAAAACAAAAAAACGTTGACTTCGGTTGCATCGAAATTATAATAACCCTCAGAAATACAAAAGATTCCTTACAACAACTCGATTTCGATTGGTTAGTTTTTATGACAACTATATGATATAGTGAGCCGTTCTGAACAATTTCTTCGGAGATTGCATTATTGTCTGAGAAAATAACTCGCGCCAAATTTCGTGAAGATGTCTATTCAAATAAAAAATGTTTCCATACAAGCCTCGTATTCCGATTGTTCAGTTTGTATGTCAGCGATATTCAATATTATTGCGACRTCGGCGGTTGCGACTAATGAGCAACTCCTTTTGGAGAAAAGATCGTGTSSAAAATTCCAGATCGAWATTTTAAGAACTAGCCCCATGATTTTTTAGATGAAATCATACTAAACATYACTTTTAAGGTCGACTCAGTAATGRCTGTGGTCCATGAAATATAGGGGCCAATATAGCAAAATAGTAGGYRTTATATTGTGATATGAAYATTCCAAGAAAAGAGCTGTACTTATGGTATTTCCATCAATTATATTCAATCGATTTGACCTCRTCGTTTGATATTGAGGACTTTTAGRACATTAGTTTGCATATTCATTTCTATAATTTGTAAGGAAACCTAAATAAAAAGCTTATGAACTAACTTAGCAAATGACCCTCATAACCACCACTCTTATCTCAAGGTTAATAAACAGATCAATCTTAAAGCCTATACTTATCCGCACTCATTTCTAGGCCGCACCTAGTTAAACAAAGAGGCATGCCTCCAAATGGAGCCACCACATTTGCTCCACCCGCACGCCTGCAATCTGCTGAGTTGGCAAACGCGAAGTGTGTATGAGCGAAAGCAGTCCGTGTTTTTGTATATTTATAAAATATGGCAGCCAGTTCATACCGCTTCGTATGCTGATCTACTGTTGATCGTCACTGCTGATCGAAAGGCAATGACTGCAGCGTAATTTTTGCATGAGAAATGCATTCGTTGCACGTTCAATAAACTGACGTGTAGTTTAAGTGAATAAACAAATACAAACTTATACACTTATATGAAAGCCCTTGGTTGCAGGTATGAATATTCAAGTACATAAGCAAATATAAGTACTACATATGGGCATTGAATAGCTCATTTTCGGCTTACATGTCTGTGAGTAAACAGTTTACATACAAAAATTAATGTTTTCACTGCATTTACACTTGTTGTATTTTTATTTTTATTTCTTTGACATCTTTGGAGCTGACTTGCCTGCAACATGCAGTTGCGATCGGCTGCAAGATGTTATTTTCAACGATGACCTATGTGTGCGCTCACAATCGGCGCTTGAGCGAGTCTAGCTGTGGGGGACTCTGCTATTGCTATTGACAATTTGTACTGTGTTATGCTTTATAGGTTATGGCGAAGATGGTTATTTATTTATAATAATCGATTGTATGATATACACAAGTTATRARCGAAGAAAATTCTTTCATAARTAATGAGTCAGTAGTTTTAATAACCGAATAAATGTAGATGCAACATAACTACAGTTTCTACAATTACAAAATAATATGCAACATTGTTTAGATCAATTTCCAAACATRTTTAAAACTATYAATAACATTAKAAGATAAAGTATCTGAGGTGAAAATAATAGAATTTGCAGAATATTGCTCAGGGTATCTTTTTCGAAAGAGCAAAATAGTCYCCGTGTCAGTCTAATACCCWSCGATCAATAGCCTTTGYGGTACGAATTTTGGTTGAAAGTTTTCCAATCGGACTTGACGAGACTGGAGTTTTCGCTACAGTTCTACCACTTAATTTTAAAGTAAGGCAGTGAAATATTCTTAGATAATTTAACTATCTTTTACTTATTATTATTATTTTTTGTTTTTTGYTTTAATTCCCAATCACTCAATTTAATGTTCATTTGGTTTGTGGAAGTTGCATATTTGAATCTGTTAGTAACAAATATCTTAAAACCCCGCTTTAACGAAAATAATATTTAGTCTGATTTACTTCAAAATTTGTTTTTTTTTTTTTGTGTTTTAATAAAAACAAACATTTTCGGTTGTAGGACCCCATACGAACCGAACTTTCTCATTTTAATTTTTCTCCTTAAGTTGGAGACCTTCGCTTGATCAAATTTAAATGGTTCAAGCAGCTTCAGTTTTGCGGTTTGATTTCTTCGGTTATTTTTTAAATAAGAAATAAAAACGGCTCATCAGATGATTTTTTAATGTAGGAATACCTGACAGCTAGTGAAATAACAAGGGATATTCCTCAGCCTTATGCATAATTATAGGGACCGACTTATGAAAAAATCTACACTGAAAATATTTCTCTGCTTTTAATATTAGATGGCAAGAAATCTATCGCTTGTGATAACTAGGTACTGCGGCTAGACAAATGAGTATGTATTGCTAGCTCGGAGAACRTGTGAAAATACATGATTTTGCTTAAGTACGAGTATTAAAAAAGAAAATATTTCAAAAAGGTTAAGTTGAGATTACTATATTATTTGGTTTGCATAACGAAAGCATGSGGTTTGAATTAGCGGAAGTGCAAGTAATTGACTGTTGTTCCCCTCAAGTTATCGCTAGAGAATTTTTATTTTATCATTAAATTACATTAAATTACATATAATTACATACAATGAAACCTACAAATAATAGTGGACACATAGTTATTTCATTACTATATTGATGAGTATTGTGGTGGACATTATTTAGTTGATTTATTAGTATTTAGCGGAAGCGTTTAATTAGTTGTGAGCAAATGATACCACCAATTATGACAAGTTTACGGGAGAAAAAAAAACTTTTCCGTTTCGGATATTTATATATATGTATGCATATTCACTATATAATATTTCATGGCAATTCAATTTCTATTCCACATACATATRSTGTATATTCATTAGCATATCTATATGTAAATATGTATTTAAATGTAAAATACGGCAGCAATATTCTCGTCACAACAGGYATTTCTATGTCCRCCACGGTCCATTAGACGCCCAATCGTTGATCTGCAGGACGATTACGACAWTATGTATTGGACGTACCGCTGTTAAAGTTGAGCGCACTGYCTCCGAATTYCGGTAGTTTAAYAAYTTTGACTCGTTGTTGGATCGTTTAACTTTGAATGCTGAAATGGSAAACCTTACTGAAGAGAAATACGGGTAAAATWCGATATCATTTGTAGTCCGGTATACTTTTGTAGTGTGMSTATTGCAAAATCCGTTATTGAACAAATTRTGCTCCATAAAAACGCTTTTTYTTCTAAGGCTTCTAGGTAGCTTTAAGTTAAAAACCATWATTTTTGCAATTTTGGAGTGTTGTTATCCATTAAGTAAGCATAACTGTAGTTTCAAAAYGAATTTGTACATATACTATATGTATTATATCTGAATCTTTATGTCGCACGTTATTTACTTGCCTGACTTTTGGTCATTCATTGCAGAAGCATTAATGTAAGTGTGTAAGTTTAAATATATATAATATATTTACTATTCAAATAAAATATTTCCTCTATTCTTCATCTTTACTTGAGACGTTCTTCCATTTCAATTGCGAATATAATCACTTTGCGATGTCGAATTCATATATCAATGTATTTTTTCCGATTTA